AGGGGGTCTCGGGAACACACTTGGGGCAGCTCACAGCCAGGGACAGACTCATGGGAGAGACAAAAGGCTGCCAATGTCAAAGCAGGACTAAGTCTGATGCAATGCATGGTCCAGAGCTGTGCTGTCCAATACTGGAGTATGGAGCCCAGGAAGTCATTTAAATTTAAATTAATGAAAATTAAATAAAATACAAAATTCCATTTCTCAGTGAGGCCATTTAAATGCTCAGGTAGTGACATGTGGATAGTGGCTATTGCATTAGACAGCGAGGGCTGAGTATTTCCACCAGCACAGATGCATACTTGTATGGGAGACTTGTGTCCAGCTTCTTATGGGATTAGGCTCATGCCATCTTCCACCCGAGACCACATCCTTGCTTAGCAGCAGACTCTGCTCTGTTTTGCTTCCCTCATTCCCTTTATCCTGAGAGCATTCCCTGAACAAACCCCGTGCAGTGGAAATCCTACTTGATCCTCTTCTCCCATGGAACCTGGTGGAAAGCACCGTCCATGTTCATGCGACCTGTCATTTCCAGTGTTGTGAAAGCTGCCTTCCCCCTCACTAGCTCATTCTGCATTGCCCTCGGGGGCCTGCTCTAGTATATTGGGGTCAGCTCAGACCTAGGGGACACAAGCTTTATTAAAGTAGTAGTGATTCATTCCTACCACTGCCAACACTGCTCCAAGATTCATTCAGGAACTGGATAGGGCAGAGTTTGTATGTCAGTTATGTCGGTGACTGTTATATATTTGAAATATCTTCAATACAGACATTTTTCACAAGATTTTTGATATTTAAATTGTGTATTTTGCTTACTGAGTATGTGATTTTCAAGAAATATGGACTCTTCCACTTGAAGTTTTAGACTTATGTGTCAGCGTTGAACACGTGGTAACAGCTCTATCAGCTTTCATGTGCTGGTACGAAACATTCAACCTCTTCTATTTAATGCCCATTCTCATAATTATTATTGTAGAATTGTATTTTTTGAGATGTCATTTCCCACTTTATTGTTTTTAGATGGTGATTATTACATAAAATGCCATTGTTTCTGTTTTATAGAATCTATTTATTTTTATTTCACCAAATAACTCTTTATTCTCTCAATGTATAACCTGTGCTTTTCTCAAGGATGTATGGTTTTGTATGCAAGATAATAATTTATGTGTGGATTTGTAACTGGATTTTCCTCTACCGTCTCACATCATGATAATCGCTAGAGTCGGCATTCTGTGCTCCTTACATAGGATGGGTGTGTTTACTGTTNCCTTACATAGGATGGGTGTGTTTACTGTTCCAGCCAGGATTATTTACATAGTTTGTCCAAGAGGAATGAATGTCTCTTACTGCATTCAGGCATTTGATACCTACCTACGTAGAGATGATGGTTTTTAGTCTACTCACACAGGTCTTTAATGTGGTAAGAAGTAGAGGAAATGAAGTTTTTCATTTAACCTTAGGCTACACATGTCCTTTCTCTGGGAAGATATGTTCTGTGGTGGTGCACAGAGATTGGAGAGGGACGGATGCTGAGCGGGGGAGGTGGAAGGGAGGAAAGTGAGCTAGATCAGCAGGACAAGCTGTTGAGATCTGAAGAACGTGTTATGCAGCTGCTCTTTCTCATGTCCCGTGCTGCTCAAGGGGAATAGTTTTCCTAGACGTAAAATGTGAGAAAAAAAAAGAAAAGAAGATTATGGACTATGACAAGAGTATTCCTGTTCCCTCCCAGGGTTCTCTCCAGGAAGGCACTAGAAGCAATTGTAACCTCCACAGACAGTCCCATTCTTTTTGTCTCTTTTAGTGAGCATCTCCTTTGCCTGATACTTTATTTTTCAATCTAAAATCATATTCATTTTTGTACCTATCCGATAGAAGCCATTCAGTATTCTCTAGTTGTATGTATACACATACACACATACATATATAATCTGGAAAAGAAGGAAACCATTTGTACAAGTTCAGAGTTTTGTCTTCTCTTACCTTCCTTCTTAGTCCTTATTGATAAGATAATGTTAAAATATATCACTATGTATTGTGATGGTACAATATGATATTGGTGTTTTCCTTGGATGAGTTAACATTTCCCTTTTGTCTTTCTTACTTTGGTGAGTAATGCCTTCATTAGACACCTTGAAAACGCCAGCAATTTATTTCAGATAATTTATCTGTATTTGTGCGTGTGTGTGTGAAACTGAACTGTGGTTTATTTGCTCTTTTGAGCAGGTGTGAGTTTGGGCACATTCCCTGTTATTGCACATTTACACTGTCTCAGATACCTTTATAACTAATTCCATTAAGAAAGTTATTGTGGATAGATTTTTTTTTTTTGTGGATACAACTGAATGCATCTCTATAGGAAATCCAAGGAACTATAAAATAATGTGAAATACTGTATCCTCTATTCTGATTCCATAACTACTTACTTTATGCCAGTTTTGTACCAATTTCTTCCACACACCAGTGGGTCTGCCCTGAAACCTGATTCAGGTTTTCAGTCTCAGAAGAACAAAAATGAACTGTAGCCTAAGCATCTGAACATCATAGAACTGAAACACTCATTTTCTGATGCTTCTTTTGCTGGTTTATAACTGCTTCTTCAGTACTAAGCAGCTGGAAGTATAGGGTCATCAGACTCACCCGAGCGCTGGTAATGTGTCTGATTCAGCATTATTAACTCTGCAAGACAGCTTCAAGAAGGTACTAACCTAATGTTGACGGGTATCTGAGATTTTAGATAATACCAGAATATCCTTTCTATGACTTTCTGTGTAGCACTCCAAGGTTTCCATTATAGGTATTTACCTGTCATTTCTTTGAGAATAAATCGGTCTTTATATATTTGTCTAGTTGATTAATTTTCACAGAAGTGGTGTAAAGCATTACCCTTTGTATGTAGATTATACAGTTGGGTAACTTTTTAAAGTATTTATTCTGATTAGAATGTGAATGGTGAATACCCCAACCGTTTTCAGGAATTTCATGTGCTCTGGTTGGCAATGTGTGAAACACAAATCTGCAGAAGGAAGAGGAAAGTTGTGGGCACTGAATTTTAGGGTTCTGGTTCCACCTGACTATGCACGACCAAGGTATGCTCAGAGTTCCTGAAAATTAATACAGTAATTTTAAGCATCTTTAGGCAAAGTTAAGCACTGTATTTAAATTGTGGTGTTTTCAGGGTCTCTCTGAGTGTGTGTTTAGTTGTTTTACTACTCTAAGGAAACACAAATTCCAAACATGTAACTTTCATAAGTATAGTATCTTAGGTAATTCTGACACAATGTTTATACGCAGAACTACTACTGATATTTTGAATGTAATTGAATTATTCGTATATGTACATTCTAGCTCTTAAACTCCTATATCTGAACACATTTTCGAGTTTCTTTTGTATTATATTCTATTGCAGGTGAGGTGTGTACAAATCCAGTTGTGTAAAACATAAGATACTTATTTACAATAATGTCCTTCCTCTGTCTGCCTCTCCTTCTGATTCTTTCTGATTGTTCTCCCTCTATTTCCTTCATCCTTATTATCTCTAAAATGTATGTACATACTACAGTCCTTTAAGTCCCATTAAGTTCAGACCAAAAGACCTTTCATACCTATGACTGATGCCAACACGAAGTCCATTATTTCATATTTCTTTTTTTTAAAGATTTTATTTATTTATTTGACAGAGACAGAGATCACAAGTAGGCAGAGAGGCAGGCAGAGAGAGAGAAGGGAAAGCAAGCTCCCCGCCAAGCAGAGAGCCCAATGCAGGGCTTGATCCCAGGACCCTGACATTACAACCCAAGCTGAAGGCAGAGGCTTTAACCCACTGAGCCACCCAGGCACCCCTTTCATTTTTCTTATATTACTTATTAAAGATTTACTTTTTGTGATAATGTGGAACTAAACTGGTATAAATTATGTCAATTTCAATCATTTATTAAAATAGTTAATTTTAGTATGATGGCATGTCTTATAACATGAGAGATCCACCTCCACCGGCACCAACTATTTTTTTTTTTTTTAAAGGTTTCTTTTAAAAGTTGCTAAGACTTGGTCCTGACAGGAAACATGTGCTAACAGAGGATGGAACAGAAAAATGGCAGTTCTTTCACGGGGTTTATCCTGCTGGGGTTCTCTGACCGGCCTCAACTGCAGCTAGTCCTCTTTGTGGTTCTCCTGATCTTCTATCTGTTCACTCTGCTGGGAAACACCACCATCATTGCCTTGGCCCACCTCGACCCACATCTACATACTCCCATGTACTTTTTCCTCTCCAACCTAAGCTTCCTGGACCTGTGTTACACGACCAGCAGTGTCCCGCAGCTCCTGGTTCATCTCAGGACAGCAGACAAGTCTATCTCATTTGGTGGCTGTGTAGTTCAACTGTTTGTCTTCTTAGGGCTGGGATGCACGGAATGCGTTCTCTTAGGGGTCATGGCCTTTGACCGCTATGCAGCCATCTGCAAGCCCCTGCAGTACACCGTGATCATGCACCCCCGTCTCTGTGCCCTCATGGCTTCTGCATCGTGGTTCATTGGTTTTGGCAACTCCTTATTGCAGACAGTGCTCATCTTCCTTTTACCACTTTGTGGGAGAAATAAAATAGACCACTTCCTTTGTGAGATCCCCGCACTGCTCAAGCTTGCCTGTGTTGACACCACTGTGAATGAGTCTGAGCTCTTCTTTGCCAGTGTGATCATTCTCATTGTACCTGTGGCATTAAT